TTGGCATAATATCCGCTATGGAACTGGGGGTAAAAAGGGGTAAATATATAATTACATCAAAAATTTCATGAGTACATCACCCGAGTAGCTTGGTGGCCAGGCGATCGGCTAGCTCTGCGCGAGGTCGGGAGTTCAAACCTGCGTGAACACCATGTAAACTTTTACCCAGCACAATTTTTTTTTTTCATGATAAATAGGAAATAAACCTTTAAACCTAGCGAGCCAGTAGCTTGAGCAAATAATTCAGATAGTAGCAAAAACTTAAGTAGTCCCAGTGCTCAGGTTTGAGGACATTGAAGAATAATCTGAAAATATTGCCGAAATCCACGACTATTTGCCGAAATCCACGACAATCCGCAAAAGCACTTGCAAGTTACAAAAAAGCTAGGCTTTGACTAAATAACCGACTCTAGTACTCAAAACTGAAATGGGCCTGGCTAGGTAACTCGAGCAGCGGTAATTTGACGATGAATTTTAGCAAGCTAGTCAATAACTCAATAAGTATATTTCTCGGAGATTGTAGCAGTTTGCGGCAGTTTCTTTGCACTTTGCTCTGTGAGAATCAACAAAATTACCGTAGATGGTCTCCGGATAAGGTTATGGAACTGCAAACCGGAGAAATATCCGAAGAAATATTAGTTGACGATCTCCGTCCAATAATTTGGCATAATATCCGCTATGGAACTGGGGGTAAGAAGGGGTAAGGGGGGGGGGGGGGGGAGATGATGTCCGCTATAAAGCTATAACATCGGGCCCCCATTATACAGTCCTACCTGTAAAGATATGATCTGGGATACTCACTTCATTAGCAGGCACATAGAGGTTTCAGACAAATTCTATTGACTCATTGACATTCCTACTATACCTAGTAATATTGTATTTATTATATTCTCTGCAAGAAATTAAAAGATGTAATATCCATGTATATTCTTGTGGCTATTGTATAAATTGTATCTAAAAATTTTTCGCTGTCTCAGGTTTTCTTAAATTTTGTCTCAGGATTTTTCGCTGTCTCAGGTTTTCTTAAATTTTGTCTCAGGATTTTTCGCTGTCTCGGGATTTCTTAAATTTTGTCTCAGGTTTTTTCGCGCGTCTCAGGATTCTTAAATTTTGTCTTAGGTTTTTTCGCTGTCTCGGGATTTCTTAAATTTTGTCTCAGGTTTTTTCGCTGTCTCGGGATTTCTTAAATTTTGTCTCAGGTTTTTTCGCTGTCTCGGGATTTCTTAAATTTTGTCTCAGGATTTTTCGCTGTCTCAGGATTTCTTAAATTTTGTCTTAGGATTATTCTGCTGTCTTAGGATTATTCTGCTGTCTTAACTTTTGCACCTGTGTCTCAGGAATTTTTGCAAATCTAATCCTAAGATCCGAGGCTGGGGGAGGCCTTTTCATTATTCTTTCACGTGTCTTACTGTTAGATATATATTTTGTTTATATTATACCAGTTCTGTTTTTACCAAAATATATTTAAAAAGGAACATTTTTTATACTTTGAAAAAATTTAAAAAATGTCATTTTGTGAGGCGTAAAAATCATTTTTTGTTTTCATACTTGAACACAGTATTTGGTTATATTTGATATTTTCTATGACTGGATAGATCACTTTTCAGTGTTTAGTTAACGTTTGACATGTTTTAGGAGTTGTTATTACTCTCTGCTTTCACAAAATAGAAGCTTTATTTCGTTGAGTTTTGAAATCAGAGTTTGAAATCAAAGAGTTTGAAATCAAAGTTTTGATATCAGAACTGCACTTTTTTAATGCTACTTGATTGTTAACTGTCAGATTATGATTATTTTTAACTCCTTCTTGTATTGACTGTCTCTGATCCATTTTAGATGATGAAAATAATTCAATCTGAAACATTGTCATTTTGTAAGGCTTTTCGGTGTCATTTTGTGAGGCATTTTGATCAAAATTGATGATCAAACAAACACATTTAGGCTCATCATGAGCTTACTGGGTTTAAGAATACCAATAATTAGGTAAGGGGCATCCAATATAAATATGCCATCTTTGTATCATAAAATAAAACTGTCATTTTGTGAGGCATAACACTGTCATTTTGTGAGGCTAGGTCATTTTTTTGTCATTTCTTCTACCAAAGTCACTAAATCAGTTTTTTTATTTGACCAGAGTAGTCTTTGATTGACATAAGTCATGGTAGTACCTGGTTTTCTGGGGTTAAATTCAAAACTTTGGTCTCCATTCTGGGTAACAGTTAGGCGGGGCAATGACTGAACAGCAAAAACGTCCATATTTATGTAAGAAATATAGATTCTATGTCATTATCATTCCTTGGGAAGTGTTAATTAATGCTTTTTCTTTCATACAGTAAAAGGAATAGGGTTCAATGTATAGGGAACCTAAGCTACAGCATGGTCTATGTGGGCTGTCATTTTGTGAGGCCTGTCATTTTGTAAGGCCGATACCCGTACGTATTTTTTTAATAAATACGTACAAATTTTTAAAAAGTTTGTAGTAATATATAGTTATATAATATAAATACATTTCGCAGAAATAAACAACGAATACCACAAATTGAATACCAGATGAAGCGAGATTTTTTTAAATTATAATTTTAAACTGATGAAATAAAAACGAATGTTGATGATAATCGTAAAAGTGTCAGAAGTGGGATTTGAACCCACGCCCACATTCGTGGACCAGAATGCTCCTTCGTGTGAAGACAAGATATTATCTCTTGAGTCTGGCGCCTTAGACCACTCGGCCATCCTGACATGTTCTTTATGCGTAAATAGCAGTATATATTATCTCTCATTAGTGTTAAATCTCACATTACGTAGTGTTAAACAATGTGAACTTATCATGATATTTTGTAATGTAACACTTTTAGTTTTGCATTCCAAGATAATATAGGGTAGTAGCAGGAAGTTGCTAGCAGTGGGGTTTGAACCAATAACACCAGATTACTTCAAATAGTCTAGAGTGTGCCGTCTTATACCACTCGGCTATCCTGGCATCTAGCCATAAAGTAATTTAACTGTATATATTTAAAATTATTGTAATACGAGACTCGTATCGTCGAGGCTACTGGTAATAGTTGATAAATCGCAGACTTTTATTCTATTTAAATCTTGACTTATTGAACGTATAATATAATACGCTAAATTACATTATCCAAGTATATTATATAATACCTCATTTGATTATTAATCAACTTAATAACACCAGAATGTGTGTGTGTCTGTGTGTCTGTGTGTGTGTCTGTGTGTGTGTGTAATTTCCGAACGGTTATACAAAAAAAACGGTAATAGTTACGGGACTGGTTTTTTCGGTATAGTGCCGACAAAACTCTGATGAAGCCCATAGGAAATTTTTTTTTAAATCGGCCGTTGGTAAGTGGTTTAATTGATGGTTTTGTACCACAAATGTTACATAAAATTGCTTGAGCAGAACGGCAAGAGTTACGGGGCTTGCTCTCTCTCTCTCTCATTACTGTGTAATATGTTATAGCTGCATTTAAGTAGCGTCATAATTGGATTAGCCCGGAAGATTCGCTGTAATGTTATACCTTAAGCTTATTAGGGGAGGGGGGACTGCTAGTGTTTGGGGTCTGTTTGGACTGCAGAGAGAGAGAGAGAGAGAGAGTGTTCATACGACAATGTTATGCGTGTTTTCAAATATAATATGCGGGACTGGTTTTTTCGGTATAGTGCCGACAAAACTCTGATGAAGCCCATAGGAAATTTTTTTTAAAATCGGCCGGTGGTAAGTGGTTTAATTGATGGTTTTGTACCACAAATGTTACATAAAATTGCTTGAGCAGAACGGCAAGAGTTACGGGGCTTGCTCTCTCTCTCTCATTACTGTGTAATATGTTATAGCTGCATTTAAGTAGCGTCATAATTGGATTAGCCCGGAAGATTCGCTGTAATGTTATACCTTAAGCTTATTAGGGGAGGGGGGACTGTTAGTGTTTGGGGTCTGTTTGGACTGCAGAGAGAGAGAGAGAGTGTTCATACGACAATGTTATGCGTGTTTTCAAATATAATATGCGGGTGTGGTGCAGAGTTAACAAGGGTTAATTTCTATAACGATTTAAATAAAAATAGAAAGCGGTTCAAGACGGGAGTGATGAGGTGTAATACTCGGTGTTCAGACCTTATGATCATGGAGTGTGGTGCCTCATGGCTAATAATGACTTAATTATCCACAAGAAATAACTGATTATGAGATTATTGTTTAAGAAACTATTGGGTCACCTAATGCGGGTTTTGACTCAGCGGGTAATTACTCCTACCCTTTTTAACTGCGGCAGTGAAATCCCGGCCGTAGGCCGGGTTACACTAGTATAATAATAAACACAGCTCCAGCAACAACTACACACTAGTTACACTGGCACTACATCGTTATTTGGACTGTATAGTACAGTTTAACACTGTTTACTGACGAGGCTATTAGCTTTATTACACCACTATACACTATATATTATATAGTTATATGCAATGTGCATTATATTATACATGCCCTTAGAGTTTAACATATTTCTACACGTTACAGTAATTAGTATTATATTTATACAGTAATTAAGTGTGAACTAAGTAGTATACTAAGACTCCCATGCTAAAGCGTCTCACTTACTCTCCCTCTCTTCCACTCTCTCTACGAAAATGTAATGCGTTTTTGTAGAATATAATAGGCGGATTTATACTTTTGCATTTCAAATTTCAACTGTGATAATGAAATCCCGGCCGTAGGCTCGGGTTACACTAGTATTATATAATATTACGTAAGCCACTTTACACAAAATTATTGTTAAAAACCAACAAATCATGTAACATGTTATGTAAGGGAGATACAGTATATAATATATGTATAGTAGTAGTGTACAAGTAGTACTCTGGGCAGTTGTCTGATCTTTAGTAACATTTTTCATTTAATGTGTTATATTTTATGCTGCTTAACAAATTCAGGTGAATCTGGATTTAATACTATCTTACGACAGTATAGTAGTAAAAGAATAATCACTATCAGAACTGACCTGAGGTTAGTGTACTCTCTGCACATTTCCCTGTGTCTTCTTATACTGCTCCATCTCCACGAGATAATCCTGCGCTTTACTCTCGTCTCTACACAATACCGGTGTAGATACTGCCACCTGGATATAATTATAAAGGAGCAAGTAATACTTTACAAAGTGTGCTGCTACTTAGTCCCGTTATTTCTGAGAAACTCGAATTATTTATTCTATAACTATTTTATAAGGTATTAAATATATACTATTATATAATATAATTTAATAAACTTTTAATGAAGTTTAACAACATTACTCTCAATCGTCAATGAAATTCCATGTAACTATAGTTCTGTAAAACTACAATTATTAATTATAAAATATAATCACATTTTGCTCCTTTATAAACTAGCTCAGTGTATTGAGTAGTACAAAAGAGCAAGCTGCTCATGACAGCTAGACAATGTTTTACACGCGTATTTGTATTGTAGTGTGTCATTACTACGATTACTACAACAACACAGCTCGCATCATAATATGGGGGGAGGGGAGGTCCAATCATATGGGGGGGTGTTCCAATGGCATCATATTATAAGCTTCATCTAGACTGATAAGAGGCATCTAACTATCTAAGATACGGGGCCCCCTCTCTTGTGTAAAAGCGACATGAACCCTAAAAGGTGACCAGAAGCGACCCAAAAGCGACCGGAAGCGACCAAAAAGCGACTAGAAGCGACTAGAAGCGACCAGAAGCGACCAAAAAGCGACTAGAAGCGACCAAAAGCGACTAAAAGCGACCAGAAGCGACCAAAATTTAAAAAGCGACCAGAAGCGACCAAAAAGCGGCCTCAACGTGAAAAAAGCGACCAAAAGTCGACGTTGTTTAAAAAAAAGCGACGGTCGCTTTTACACAAGAGAGGGGGCCCGATACGGATATAGTTCAAGACTATTCCACAAGATTGCTAGTGAGAGAAGGAGATACCCGGCTTTAAAGATACCACATTTGTAACTCACCCCCCCCCCCCCCCCCCCTTTGTAACTCACCATTTCCTAGCGTTCCCCTTAATAGGGGTACCAGGGTGCCACTTAGCGAAGGGTTGTTTCTTCTTTCCGCGCTCCATCGAGTCTAACAGGGACATCGTATCAAGGTACTGCGTCTTACGCACCTGGGGACAGTTAGTGTTAAACCACATTATCTTACCCTAAAGTGGTGATAAAACAATATTTACACCACTTGGGGGTCCAAATTTGGGGACCTAAACTCCAAAGTTATTATTTCTTGGCTAGGAATTACATTCCTCTCATTCTGTAACCGGCATATATGGCATAACGCCAAAAAACTTATGGTTCAGTAATAATTTCCACGTGATTAGTATTACCTCGGTTGTGAGAGAGGAGAAGTGAACACTGGCTGTAGCTTTGGGAACGTCCATGACAACCTTGTTACTGGGATCTATCACCATCTTCACTTCACATCCCATAGGGTGGATCACTGGGATATTGAACATTGAACATAGTAACATAGCAGTAACAGCAGTAGTAATAGTATGCATACCTAATTAGATAATCCAATAAAATAAAATAGGATACGAATTCTCTTAAAGTATGACATTAAAGTAGGAAATATTCTTGCAGACCACACATAAAGTTTTGTATGGATGTTATGGTGCCTTTAATGCTAACCGAAGTTATGTTGAGAGTTTGGGGTCGCCTTGGTGACGATGAGTTTCAACAACTCTGCTTCTATTTTGTGCTGAGGCAGGTTAAACAACTCCAAGCTGGGGTTGTTCCAGTATACACAGAAGTTCTCTATCTTCGCAAGCTGGGAGGAAATGTATTTAGAACACAGAAAATAAAAAGAAATAAGCTGATACAAGAAGAGAAACCACGTGATGCCCACTGCCCATATAAGGAGATGTAGAGACACGTGATGCCCATATAAGGAGATGTAGAGACACGTGATGCCCATATAAGGAGATGTAGAGACACGTGATGCCCATATAAGGAGTTACCTTGAATATCCTCTGAACTGTCTGATTACTAATAACAGCAGGTGACCACATCTCATCAGTAGTAGTAGCGTACAAGTGGTCCAGTGTAACTCCAGCTGCATAACCAGAGTCCGGGTCCTCGTACCGGATATGGATGTTCTTTATATTTAGCTGGGAGGGGTGGTTACAGGTTAGAGGTTACAGGTTAGAGGTTAGAGGTTAGAGTATCAGCAACTGAATCAAACAGTGCTGAAACCTGAAACTATCGATCACATCGCTAAAATTGTGACATGGTATTTGCAAGTTTCAAACATTAACTCCAGTGCTTACAGAATATTTAGGCCCTGAATTCACGTTTTTCCAAAATCCACCTCCTTGCTATCACCACTAATTGTTAAAATAAATAGCAGGAATTTACCTCCAGATTCTTGATGATAGCAGTGATGAGGCTCTCAGCCCAGGTCTGTTTCTGTCCCTTTCCCTGTGTTTCAGACATCCGGGTCTGAGCTTCCTCTACTGCTTGTAACATTGCCTTCTTTCTTGCTCTCTCTTCCTTCTTCGCCTTCTCTTCACTGGAACAAAGTGAACATTCATAAATGGCTTAGTACAAAAAGAATTTGATGCTTTTGCTTTTGCTTTTTGGTTTTCAAAATTTTCAGCTGCTATTATTATAACATACAATATAATATAATTAACCAAATTTTGGTTTCACTGCTTATATATATTAACAATTAATTGAACAAGGTTTGGACTAACTTGTAAGGAGCAGCTTCTTTAGGAACGACTAATAAAACAAGGTCCTCAACAACCACTTTGGTAGGAGCAGTCCACAGTGCTTTCCATGGCACCTGTAGTTCTAGAGACCCTATCAGTCCAGCATACACAAACACTGGCAGGTCAAACTTAGCCTGTAATAATAGTCAGTATCAGATAGTAAATAGTGCAGTATAGTGACAAAATACCAGTTACAGTATGAAGATTTAGGATATTCCTTGATAATTATAATGTTGACATGCCATAATATGTATGCTGGACGCTTATCAGATAATATTATTTAACTATAATTACGCACTAATGCCTCAGCTTTGAGTCGTAAGTTCTTGAGGACGACATTCCCTGAAAAATAAAAAATGTAAAACTTTGAAAATATGGAAAATCAGAGTGTCACATTAGAGAGAAACAAATGATGAGATTTGAAAAACTCTCTTCAAAGTTTGAAAATAATTATAAAATTAACTGACCACTCCATACAGCAAGTTTAAGGTCCTTGCTGTTTATATCCTGTACAAACTCTCCGAGTACTTTTTCTAGAACAGTCTCTAAAACCCTCTCAAACATGGGACAACACCTCCTGAAAAACATTCCCTGTTAGTTAGGTAACACCGCTAACTTTAAGTCATGTTAGGTAACACCGCTAACTTTAAGTCATGTTAGGTAACATGCTAGGGTAGCCTGCTTACAGAAGTCGATTGTAATTTTCTTTCAACACAGCCTTATTTTAAGGTAGCTATAACAATGAACTCACTAAAAGTTGTAAGATCAGCACATGCCAAACACCCTCGTCATCATAGATATTTCTTTCACATCCATAGCATTATCAATCACTAAAACAAATTGAGGCATAATACAAAGAAATGGATTGTCTTCTCTACTAATACTGCCAAATTTTTCTAGCAGTATTTAGTGATTTGAAAAAATAACTTTTAAAAATCAGAAGCAATTAGAAGTAAATTTAAGCAAAAATATTCTATAATATTGAGTTAAACAGTGTTATCAAATAGGTAGAATTCAGAATTGAAACAGCATATTGATACAGCAGCAAAACATTTTTCCAAATTTGAACCAATACCAACACATAATTATATTTACATGGAATATTTACATTTTTACATTTTATGTATCTAATTATCTAAAAATTGATTTGATAATTTTTTTGCATTGTCTGTAGAGCAATGTGTGTAAACTTTATCCATATAATAATGCAAAGTAATAACCAACTACTTAATCTATAAAGTGCAGCACTAAAAACATATATCTATCCTATAACTAGATATTTACTACTTCTTTTCTCGAAAAATTAACTTTTCTTAAAAACTATACCATTTTACCATAACGAGAGGGTAAATTTATACGTAAAATAAATAGTACTTTCATGCAATGAATATAAAACTTTAATGATATGTTTACTGTAAAAACAGTGTATCAAATAAATAAATGAATATAAATTATTGTTTGAAGATCCATAAAAGTGAATAATCAAAATGGTCAAGATTAAAATCCATCCTCCAGACAAACTATTTTACTAAAACTTTAAATTATAAATCAGCAACTGTTAAAAGCTGTGCGTGTTTCCAGAAAAGGCTCCTTTAACCCCCATGACTTTAAATCTATACAACAAGCCTTTATCACATAGGAAATGTAGCACATGGTAGGGATTTTCTGCGTACTCAGGATGATACTTTCAACACTACTATATATTCAACACTACTATTTTAATACTTTCAACACTACTATATAACAAATAATTTGAGGACCCCTAGTGGGAATTAACACCTCAATCAAATGTAGCAACCATTACAGGTTGTATGTCGATGTAAATGGTTGTTGCATGATAGTTTATTTAAAGACATCCTAAAGACTATCAGACATCGTTTTTAAGAGCTGTTAACTCCCATCTATCACCTATCACCCATCTATCACCTAAAGAATATCAGACACCACTTATTCCCATCTTCTGAATTGCTGCAAAGGTACTGTAATCAACAACTAAATAACTATAAACAGTAGCATCGGTTTTAGACTCTATCCTGAATTCTTTGCATTATTGTGTTTATTTGAACTATGTCCGGTATCCCAATCAGAAATTACAGCCTTCGTGACAGAGCTAACAGTGCAAAAACAAAATGTTCTACCTGTGTATCACTAAGTCTTGAAAACGACAATTTGAGGAGACAAATTGCTCGTCTAACCAAACTTACCCAAGGCTCAGGCCATGACAAAATTGCGGTTCCATTCTCTTGCGGGGACAATGTTCTTATCTCTGAACATGAATCAGAAACTCAAAACTGTGAAGTTAGCAGTGTGACTGAACTTAATAGCAACCCATCTCTTGTGAATTCTTCTGATGTTAACAAACAATCTTCAACCAGTGTTAACGTTGTGGGTAAGTCCATCAATCCATATCATGATTTGAGTCGAGGTGTATTCAGGTTTGTTGATACTCTCAAGTTGGATATGGAAACACAATACACACAAACGTTTAACAATAGGACTGTAGCATACTATGGGGATTTCCCATATGCCTACAATGGAGGCTTCCATAACACAAGGCCGTTAAATGACAATCCCTTATTAAAGTCTATTTTAGAACGTTTACGCTCACAGTTCCCAAGTCTGAAATTTAACAGCGCCATGGTCACTAAGTATGAAAATGGCAAGCAAGGAATACCATTCCATTCAGATGATGAGAGGTCCATATCACCAGGCTCCATGATTTCCACCATATCGTTAGGAGCAACAAGAGTCCTCAGTTTTAGGTCTAAAAGCAAAGTCCACGTTGCCAATCTTACTCTCTCCCATGGCGACATAATGATTATGACCAGAAAATCTCAGGACAGCTTTGAACACAGCCTTATTCAGGACCATACTGATGACATGAGAATTAGCATTACTCTGCGCCAGATTGATGGCAGTGCAACCTTGTCTGCTCCACCCGATACCTCAAGTAAGCCTTTCGATACTGTAAGAGAAACTGAACCCTCAATCAAAGGGAAATCATCACCCAACAAAATCACTCATAAGAGCACCGTACCCCCTGCTTCAGTCAAAAGCAAATCCCTTGCTGTGTATGTTAGCTCAAGCATGTTCTCCAAGTTAGATGCTACAAAACTATCCTCTGCTCATCAAGAAGCACATGTATTTCACTATCCTGGTGGCATTGCAAACGGTATCAATGAACGCTTCCACTCAGATGAAAGAAAGAGGTCAATTGATGCAAATAATGTGAAGACCATCGTACTCATGTGTGGAACTAATGATGTGGACTTAATCCTAGAGAGTCCTCGACACATGAGGAATAGATTATTGTCACCCGATGAGTTCACAGGAAAAGCAAAGGCCCTTGATAACACCAATCGCTCTATTGATAATCTGATCCAGTCACTTCACTCGTGGGCTCCAGCTGCAAAAATTAAGATCATAAACATTTTACCGAGAGAAAGTTTTGCTAGAAATAAAGTGATAAATGACATCAATACCTTTTTATCTAAGATTCCTTCCAAATACTCGTTTGTTAGCTTTATACCCACAGAGAAGAATCGATTTTTGTTTAGTGATAGATCTGGATTTAGGAAATCATCTTGTTTTAGTAGATTTGGGGAAGACAATGTGCATCTAAACAGCGATGGTATCTTTAAACTAGCAAAGCACATCAAGTACCATGCTCACCATTGAAATCGACATGACATTTCCACCTGAATATTTATTTTGATTTCAAGTTTAAAACTTTTCTATTAAAAATATTTACAGGCGGATAATTTTCACCTGATTTTAGTTTAATCAGACACAACGACTAACACGTTTTGTGAAATGACAAATATTCACAACTCAGCTGACAAATTTCATAACCTTTGCATTGGTCACTGTAACATTCAAGGTGGTCTCCTAAATTTAGCTAAAAGTTATGAACTTACTCAACTCATTCGAGATCATAAGCTAGACATACTTTCCCTAAATGAGATGAATCTTAATGATACTATTGACACAGACACCATAAATATTCCTTCCTCCTTCAACATTATGCGATGCGACAGGCCAAACAGTTCTAGGGGTGGTTGTGGCTTAATGATAAACAAAAAACTAGCTTACACAGAATTAGTTATGGATAGTAAGCTTGATAACATTGAAGCATTATGGGTGAAGCTTAAGAATAGCAAGATCAATGTTTGCTGCTTCTATCGCTCTGGAAATTATTGCAGTGTTGATAACTTTATTGAGTACATTCATTTTTGCATGAAAAAATTGAACGGGAAAAAGGTTATCTGGATTGGGGATATAAACATTGACCAGAATAATATCTCATCCACCCAGTACAAAAAATTAGATATGACCTTGAGATGTTACAATCTAGTTCAAACCATTCAAGGGATAACTAGAGTTGCTAAACGTGGAGACAATTTTACCCAGACTACTATTGATGTAATATTCACTAACTGTTATGCAGATTTTGTTCAATCTTCTGTTCTTGATGAACGTATTGGGGATCATCAAGCTATTATGTGTGAGATAGATTGTAAAGTACCTATAGCTCCTAAATTTGAAAAGGTTGAAATTAGAAATCATTCTAAACGTAATGTTAAACAATTCTTAGACTATCTAGATACCTGTTCTGATTACAGTCCACTATTGGAAAGTACAGATGTTGAAGCTATCACTGTTAGCCTTTGTCATCATATTGAACAGGCATATGCAACCTTCTTCCCTTGCAAGACCATAGAAAGGCATGAAAAGTTCATACATAAACCTTCTACTGAACTTTTAAATGCCATTAATCATACACATTTTCTTCTAAAGAAATTCCGTAAAAAGAAGGATAAGAGAGACAATGGAAATTGCAATAAATGTGGTATATGTAGCAAATGTATAAAGTGTAATGAGGCCTGGGATTGCTACAAGATTCAGAGAAATATTAGAAATAAATTAGCTAAAACCTGCAAAAAGGCTAATGTAATCGATGATCTACAAGTTAAAAGTGCCAAGAATGATCTTAAAGGGGTATGGAAAACTATCAAACTGGCATCAAATATGACCCCTGGTACAACTAATTGTCAAACTATCAATGAGAATGATCCTGAGCTATTTAACTTTCATTTTGCAAATGTTGGATCAAGATTACAAAATCAGGCCCCCAATATTGAAAGAGTTAGTTTTACTGATTTTTTACCTCCTAGAACTTCTAACATCTCATTTGATAGATTCCAAGAAATAAATGAAACTGATATCCTAATGTATGTCGAAACGCTCAAGAATGACAAGGCCTCATATGACGATGTGCCTCTATTTTTACTTAAGCAAGCTGTACCACACATAGTTGAGCCACTGACCCATATTGTCAATTTGAGCCTTAATACAGGTGTTGTACCAACCCTTTGTAAAAAAGCTAGAGTAACTCCCATCCATAAGGCAGGAATGAAAGATGATCCTAATAATTACAGGCCAATATCCATCCTTCCACTTGTAGGAAAACTTATAGAATACTTTGTCGGCAAGCAACTCACTGATTACATGGAAGAGAACAAACTTTTCATCCGGCATCAATATGGCTTTCGGAAAAATCACTCCACAACTTATTTGATGTACGATCTGATGGACGAAATATATATGAGTAAATCTAAGTCTTATAAACCAGGAATCATCTTTCTTGATCTTAAGAAGGCCTTTGACACAGTGAATCATGAAATATTGCTTCAAAAATTGGCATATTATGGAATTGGTGGCATTGCTTTAACCTGGTTTAAGAACTTCTTATCTTGTAGATATCAATGCACTAGGATCAATGGCAAACTAAGTTCATTTTTAGAAGTTCTGAGTGGTGTACCACAAGGAAGCATCAT